GGAAATGAGGAAAGCCAATATAGAGGCGAGTTACCAGCCCGGGCAACATGGTGAGACCCCATCTCTGCAAAAACATTAAAAAATAAAAAATGAGCCGGGTGTGGTGGTGCACGCCTGTAGTCCTAGCTACTTGGGAGGCTGAAGTGAGAGGAACACTTGACCCCAGGAAGTTGAGGCTGTAGGAAACCATGATTATGCCACCGCACCCCAGTCTGGTGACAGACCAAGACCCTGTCTCACGAAAAAGGTGAGCGCTGGCCACTACTGGGGCAACAGGACTCAATTCACTGGGACCCTCTGCAAGGCTGGCAGAACATGCCCAAAATTGTCCTCCTGAGGGACAGAGAAGGAAAGCATTAACCACTGGCTCCCAGTATCTGTTGCTCAAGGTTTGCCCACGTCAATCCCTCACTCTTCCAGGCTTGACAGGCATGAACAAGAAGCAGGTTCCTGCAGGCATCCCATCACATAATCAGAGGAGATCCGGGGCAGAAAGGGCCAGCTATGCGGTAGAGATGGGGTGAGGAGCTGTCAGATCCCCCGCCTCCGCCAGGAAGCTGGCCAAGGTGGCCAATAGGGAATGAAGCAGAGGACCCAACACAGGTGGCCTCCTGGGGCAGAGAAGAGGAGCCCCACACAAAGGTCCTTGTGCACTAAGGTCTGCGTGGACACTCACTGGCCCCGCTGCTAAGGTCTTTGGCTGGGGTACTCATAGCTGCTCTCTTGGCTGCAGCCCCAGGGTCTACTCCAGCTGACTTAGCCCCACTGAGGCTCACTCTGGCCCCTCACACCCCTCCAGGCTCAGCCATGCCATCATCCAGCCTTGGATGTGAGCTTCCCCGCTCCATGGCCTCTGTGGCAGACTCACTTCACCATTCACCATGGTAGCACCATGACAGACCCACCAGTTCCAACTCCTCCAGCTTCCTCATGCCCCAGGGAGCGTGCAGGAACTTCTGGGTCCCTTCCAGGCCTCTGGGAGCTGAGGGTAGCTTGGTGGTGTTCACTCAGATCTACTTGGCGTTAAATCTGTAGCTCCACCATTTTATCTAGGAGGGCCACTTAAGGGGTACAGGTTGCTTGGAGGACTGACTTCCTAACACAGAGTGGGACACACACACCCTCTGTTTTCAGGTTACAATGTGTCCCCTCAATATTTCCTAGGTAATGAGACCAGGGGGGCTTTCCTCCCTTCCTTCCATCCTCACTTCCTCCTTGCAGAGATGATATACCCCTCATCCACCTTTCCCCAGGTCATAATGGTGGAGGGCTTCAGAGGGATATAATCTCAGGGGCCAGGTAATGAGAATGGTATCTGTTTAATGTTTTCAAAATATTACCATCATATTTTCATTCAGCAAATAATTACTGTGTGCACAGTTCTAGACACCAAGGATGCAGTGGTGAACATGGCAGAGCCCTTGCCCTCATGGAACTGACCTTCTAATGGTGGAGACAGATAGTAAATGAGAAAAGTTACAGAAAAAGAAGGCAGGATGAGGGTTAGAGTGAGGGGGTGCTCTGTTAGTTGAGGTGGCCAGAGAGGCTTACAGTGGGGCAAGAGCAGGCCATTCCCCTCCCTGATGATCAGAGGAATTTAAACCATATGCATCAGAGCTGGGGCTCGGAGATCTTGCAGTCCAGGTCGAAACATCCAGTTCCCTGCCTCTGCAGAAGCAGCCTGGACAGTAGCTGAGGAGAGCCAGGCGGCCTGGGGCCTCAGCAGGGTCTGAACTCCCCTAGGCAGGGGCTCAAGGGCTGGCCAAGCAGTAAGTAGAGGATGCCTGGTTGGACATGGTGAGGCTTGTTTCTTACGTCCCTCATTGCAGCAGTGACCCAGGCCCACAGACTCCATCTGGATGTGGAGATCCCCCCCACCCCGCCCCCAGTTCAATGTCCTCGGTGCCAAGTGACACAGAACAAGCAGCTCTTGAAAAGACTAATATTTACTCTTCAAACGGGAGCTGGCACAGGCTGTTTCCTGCAACTGGCGTCTGACTCGCCCTGTGGGATGGACACAACAGGAGGCACTCCGGGAGATAGGCAAATGTCCCCTCGGACGCCAGCATTCTGGATGAGACGATGTCTGTGAGATGGGGACAGCATGTTCCAAGGTTCCATCAGACACATCTCATTTCTGCCGCACACCTCACAGTGGAGAGCTCGTTGCCTCTCCAGCCCCTGCTGGACAGCTCTGTGAGAAAGTTCATTCCAATGCTGGCCCTGTGTTCCTTGCCCTGGCCCTTGCTCTGATCCCTGGGGCCTCAGGAAATGCGCCCGGAATAACCCCCAGGGCAGTGGTGGTCCTGGTCACCTTTATTCCTCCCACCCCCACCCGCCTCTGGCTTCACTTCCCCAGGCCCACACTCTGGGCTCTGTGGCCAGAACAGGCTATTTCTGGGGTAGGAGGAAGAAATTGCCTTGAGGGCACCTCTGTCCCCCTGCAGCTGTGTTCCTTGTCCTCATGAGAGCCCTTCAGCTGAATGCCTCATATGGGAAAGTCTTGGCCAGGAAACTGCTGGTCAGACGGCTCAAATATGGGGAGGAGAGTCCCTAGCGGCTTGGCGGTCAGAGCCAGCTCCCCCTGCCCACTTTCCCCTCTGGAGTCTCTCCTCTCTGCTCCAAGCTCCTCATGGCTTCCAGAGCCCTCTCAGACCAATATAACCCCAGGCTTCAGTTTCCCCGCCGCCACCCCCCACCACTGCAGCCCTGGAGGCTCAAACACTCTGGCAGCATATGGGGCTTTAGAGCCCCCAAAGGTCAGCCTTCTCAACCTCGTCATGTCAACTGCAGGGCTGGGCACGGCCAGGACAAGATCTCCCAGGGGGCATGCAGGCCCACCCCATTCTCCCAGAGCTCTCAGAACTGACTGCTGACTCAAGCAACCCTCTTTTTAAAACAATCCCTTATTATCCCTATACCTAACTCCCAAGCTCCTGGTCCCTTGTAAGAAGCCATTCAAGTGTATTTAACATGTATCTTTTTGTATGTATCCTCACAAAATATTTTATCGTCTTGTATGCATATATTTCTTATATAACAGTCATTTTTCACTCAGCTCTAAGTTTTCAGGATTCATCCACGTGACGTTGCATCTAAATCTGGTACATCTGCCTGCATCATGATGCTCCGTGGTATGCCTGCATACTTTCTTTCCATGATGGATACATAGATTGCTTTCCACCAACACCAGTAAGTCTTCAATGAATGTGTCTCCTTAAGGATCTGTATAAGAATTTTCCTGGGACAAATAACCAGAAGTCAAATTTCCACTTCACAAGGTGTGCACTCTGAACTTGGGTAAGTAGGCTGTATTAGTTTGTTAAGGCTGCCCTAACAAAGTACCACAGTCCGGGTGGTTTAAGCAAACATTTATTTTCTCATGGGTTGGGACTTCAACATGTGAATTTCGGGGGAACAGAATTCAGCTGTTAACAGTGGCATGGCTCTGCATATCAGCCGTGCCTCTCTACTCACTGCCACCTCACACGAAGTCCTACGTCTCCAAACTCCCTCCTGCACTCGATGCCATCCAGCTCTGCAAGATTTGCCAACCTCATAGGTGTGAGGTGATGTCTTATTACTGTTTCAATGTGTATTAATGATTTAAAATCTCTTCATATGCTTATTAGCTTTTTAGGTTTTATCTTCTGTTAATTGTCTGCACATTTTCTATTGGGATTGCTCTTTCTTGCTGATTTACAGGAATTTCTTCTGTGTTATTAATCCCTTAGTGGTTTCTGGCATCATAAATATCTCCTCCCATTCTTTTAACTTTGCCCATGAAATCCTTATTTGTGTATAGTCAAATTCATCAATCATTTTTGCCTTAAGGCAGTCCTTTTCCACCACAAGCCACAAAGATAATCTTCAAGTTCTTCAACGTATTCCATAGATTTTGCTGTCCACATTTGACTTAAGAAGTCCTTTTCCACCACAAGCCACAAAGATAATCTTCAAGTTCTTCAATGTATTCCACAGAATTTGCCGACCACATTTGATCCCAGCAACATCTTTGTGCTGACTCAGCAGAGCCAAGTGGGCTCCTTAGAGACTCTCCTCTACCAGCACTGCCCAAAGATGCTTGGCAGCTGTCAGGTAGCACTTCTGCTACCTGGCACCCTTCAAGGGGTAGGCCCCAAGAAAAAAGAAGGCAACTCACCAGCCAGAACTTCTCATCCAGCCCCCCTGGCATAGAAGGAACACTTTCATGGGCCAGAATCTCCTTCTAGTCTTTGTGGGTACTGCCAAGTGGGGGAGAGACACTTGTTTCCTGCTCAGTGGAAACAGAGCCCCGAACTTTACTGTCACTGGCTCCCTAGAACAAGCCTCAGCTTCGCAACCTGAGCAAAAACGTGGTTGAAGCAGATGGTGTCTGAAAACTACCAACTTCCAAATCCCAGCACCCAATAACTCAGATGTTTATTTTGGCAGTCACTGCCTTCCTCCAAAAGATTCTGACTCAGGACAGATGGTGCAGAGACTCTTGGAGAGTGAATTCCCCAATGTGTCTAGAGGATGGTCAGGAGAGGATAGTGCATTTGCTTCCTTTCTGGGAATTTTATTAGCTGCTATAGGAACGGCCTTTGCAAAAGGCCACCTTCCCTTGTCTGGAAACCTGAGGAGGTGGCCAGCAGCTGTGCCCCCTGGTGGCCATTCGGTGGTCAGGGTGGTCCTGGGAGATGAAACTTCACCTTCACAGTAGACAAGAGCCCAAAACACAGAGCAGGGAAAGTGCCTGCTGCACACAGCAGGACAAGGGCAGAGCCTGCGAAGTGGGGAGGCCTCCCAGCCCCCAGGGCATTGTTGTGACTGCTATTTTGGTTGGGAATTAGTGCTAAAGACTATTTGAGCCCTTGCCCCTGTCTAGGCCTCACCAGACAAGAGCACCTGACTTTCACTTCTCTCAGCAACCCCCTCCCATTACGTCAGGCCCACATCACACTGTCTAGGAAAGGATCCATAACTCAGAATTTTTCACACAAGTGCAAAGACACATGTTAATAAACACTTTAGATTTATTCTGCCATTTCTGAAGCCACCTCATTTATGTACACATAGGATATAAATGGCTATACAACATTTTTACATACTTTCATACAAGTTTAGGTTGTACTACTATGAGTTTGTTAAAATGTACCCATTATTTACTCAAAATATTTATTGTTACAAGAAAACCATAAGAAGCTTGTGTAACATGAACAGCAAGTATTTAAAATGAATATGTAAATGGTTTTGCCCTGACTAAATCAGCCTAGTATTTTATGCTCTTAATAGAAAAGCCCATTAAACAAAATAGAATCCTGGGGGATCAAATCATACAAATGATTCATGAAATAATACTTCTGAAGCAACCCCAGAATCATATAAATGTAAGGGTTAAAGAAGGTTATATGTACCAAGCATGGATCGGAGGAACAGAATGGGTTTGCTAATTTTACCCTAAACAAAAGGCGCTTGTGGGCAACAGCTCTGCCATCAGCACACATGGGCAGATGTTTCCATATCCAGCCATTCCCAGATTTTACTGACAAGCCTTTTTCCACAGGTTCCCTGCTGATGAGATTTCCCCAGCAACAGAAGTTTGACATCACTGCTCCCAGATGGGAGAGTCAGAGCTCTCCTCATTTGGGTCAGGGGTGGCTGGCTCATGAGGTTTGGTCCAACCAGCAGAACCAGCTCCCTGGATCCTGGAATAAACCAAACACCAATGGTACCATGTGCTCTGTGCCCAGGGAGTGAAAGGCAGGTCCAGGGTGGGAAGAAAAGGGGCTGCTACCATTTGGAGTGAAAAATTGAGGTTGTTTACACTGTAGTATAACAAAATGTCTTTTTGTAAAGGCCAGAAGAAACGGCTGTGCTGTGCTGCCTGAAGCAGAAAAACCTTCATGTACCAGGTGAATGTAAAGCCTTTCTCCTCCCACACATGATGGATTCACCCAGTATTCCCCTCCACTACCACTTTTGACCCTCATAACAGCACCCTGGGGGAGCAGACTGATGTTATCACCATTTACCAGATGAGGAAACTGAGGCCTGATGGGCAATGATTTGTGCACTGTGACAGGACTCAGTGAAGAGCCTAGCAAGCTGATGGTTAGCTAACTGGTGCACTCTTTCCCTCACCTTATCTCTCAAGGGCACAACTACACTCACTTTCTCCACCATCATTAACACTCACAGTGCACAGGTAGAGCGTCCCCAGACTTGTGCAACATTCTACACAAAACCATTTGGAACATGAGCAATGTCTGAACAGGGGCTTGCCAGGCACATCTGATCACCACAAATGCTCCCACCCGTGTCTGTCCTCACTTGTGCTGTACTGTGCAAGCAGGCAGTAGGTTCTCAGAAGGCCATTGTCCTGCATGTTACGATGAGTGGCCAACTCCTTCACAGAACAGCAAATGGCAGCCCTGGCTGCAAGGTGCAGTGTGCAATCCCCATATGCCAAGGGGCAGCTGCTATCTTCCAGCAAAGAGAGAACCCCTAGCTCTGCTCCCTATCTATGCCCTGCTTCCTGTGCCTCACACAGCCAGCCTTGCTGCTGGCCTGCTGGCTGTTGTCTTTGACTCTGAGCTGCGCTGACTACCTAGAGTGTTACTCCTCTCCAAGACTTGACTCCCAGGCATGGGTGGGAGAGTGGAACCTCAGTGCAATCTGCTCCCACTCTGAAGCTCGTCTACCCACCCCATTCATTACAATTAAAGGTGGTTTTCTCATCCCTCCAGAGACTCGTTTCAGCCTCTGTCTCCAGAGCTGGAGTGTATAGGGCAGAGGCAGAAAGAGGCAGGAGAGTTGGAGAACAAGAGCACCCAGAAAAGAACAGAGGAGCTCAAGCTCATTTAATCAAAATGCTTACATGTTTTAATTCCAGCATTCTCGAGTTCACAGAAAAGAGGGATGCAAGCCCAAAAAGCAAAACCAGGAGCTTATGGTCACATGCCTCCAGCTGCAGGCAGTGGGACCTCTGGTACTGAGAGGGAATGCCACCTGAATATGCCCCAGCTGTCTCCACCCAGGAAAAGGAAAGCCAGGTACAGTCCCCATCACAATAAGGCTAGCCTAACAGGGGAAAACAGATTTACATGTTTCCTTCATTAGGATATTAGGGAAGGGGAAACCTTTTGGGCTCTGGCCCCTTGGTTGAGAAACCCTTCCTAAGAGCACTGAGCCACACTCTGGCCCTGATACAGTAGATGGGACTTAATACACTCTGATGCTCAAGGCCTTGCAGCATCTGATACCAGAAGGCACCTCTAAAGTTTTGTTTTCAACATTATTTCATCTATTCCCAGATCTAGCCCAGTAAGATCAGCTGCACAGGTAGCATTTAACTACTGGGAAAACAAAAGTGCTACAACAACAGTGAGTCCATGGTGGAGTGAGGATAACTCCTGGTATTTGGAACCAGTTTGCTGGTATCAAGGATCACACGAGGCTATAAACCTCCAACCCTAAACCAAGTCAAACCTAAGCCTGGGGATTTCCCTTGGATGAAATCACCAGAACTTCTTTCCTATTATCAGTCTCTTCCTTCAGTGAGCTGAGGATTCTTTTAGCTAGCTGGATTTCAGTCAAACAATGTTTTTGTGGTCACTACTTGTACCGTTTTTCTACTGCATCTTTTCCCTTTTGTTTGCAAAAGTCAATCTCACCTCATGTGGATGTTAACTGATATCCACACATTCAACCTGGTGTGGGTAACATCTTTGGTAGTGCTTTGGTGGTCAGGAAGCATTACCAGGAAGGACTCATCTTCAAGGACCGTTTCTTTACTGCCTACTGAATATGGATCATAGGCTCAGAGGCCCAAAGCACCCGGGGTACAGGTCTACACAGCAACCCAATGCCACACAGGCTTAAAAAGAAAATAGTCCATTTTTAAGCTGTTCTCACCGACTTTTTTTTTTTGAGACGGAGTCTTGCTTTGTCGCCAGGCTGGAGTGCAGTGGCTCGATCTTGGCTCACTGCAACCTCCACCTCCTGGGTTCAAGAGATTCTCCTGCCTCAGCCTCCTGAGTAGCTGGGGCTACAGGTGCACATCACCGTGCCTAGCTAATTTTTGTATTTTTAGTAGAGACTGGGGTTTCACCATGTTGGCCAGGATGGTCTCAATCTCTTGACCTTGTGATCCGCCTGCCTCGGCCTCCCAAAGTGTTCTTATTGACTTTTAAAACGTTTTTGTTCTTCTCATTTAAAACAATTTACCTCCCCTCCTTAACTTCCCACTCTATTTCACCATCTCTTCAAAATTGTCTCCCAGAAAAACTGAAAATTCACCTGCTGGGTATGCAGAAAATTATGCAGATGTGAAATCAGTGGAGAGACAACTCTGGAGTTTATGTCTGAGTATGTTGCCAATGTAATTTTCATATTCAGATTTTTTAGAGACAGGGTTTCACTCTGTCATGCAGGCTGGGGTGCGATGGTGTGATTATAGCTCACTGAAGCCTCAAACTCCTGGACTCAAGGGATCCTCCTGCCTCAGCCTCCCAAACTGCTGGGATTACAGGCGTGTGCCATCACATCTTGCAATTTTTTTTTTTTTTTTTTGTAGAGATGAATCTTACTATGTTGTCCAGGCTGGTCTCAAACTACTACTGGCCTCAACTGATTCTCCTGCTTTGGCTTTCCAAAGTGCTGGGAATACAGGTGTGAGCCATCATGCCTGGCCCATATCCAGATATTTTATGTTTGGTCAAAAATAGAAAATTCTATTATAAAAAATAAAGTTACTATGGCAACATTTTCCCAACAAAGTTCCCAGTATACAAACTTATCTTTCTTAAAATGATAATAAGGTAGCTCAGTAACAATATAATACCAATGATAACCAAATATAATTGAATTTTCTAAAACTACATTCTTACATTCCCTATCTACTCAACTCTTGTAATGGTTTTCCACTTTTAAAAACTATCAAAAGAGGATTTTTAAAAATTTATCAAGACCACATAATGCAGTTGAACACTCAAAGCGTTCCATGCAACTGTGGTTGAACTATTCAGATTCCAGACTTCTACCAAGAACAATCCAAAGAACAAACTCCCAAAACGGCCTCCTGAGAGGTACTAAACAAGCCAGCCTGAAATTTTGGGAGACCTAAGGGATCTTATCCAGAACCATATTCTGGAAAACTGTGATCAAGCAATTTTTTGACAATGAAAGACAGTAACTTTCCAGAGTATGTGTTAATTATATCTCTATCAAGCTTTAAAAAGTTAACAGCTACTTAACTGTTATTCATAAAAAATTAGGCCCTCAAGCTAATTAAGATGACTGGGAAAGGTACAGAGGAGGAATTAATTTCGGAGGTGCTCTGCAAACAGGTACACAGGGTACAGTAGTCATCATCATTAAAACAACAGGCACTCAGCTCTACTGAAAAGGCTGATGACAGCAGCCTCTCCCAAGTGGATCTGTAAGGTGCCACTGAATCCATGTTCATTTACCTACTCCAGGTTGTGGTCAATTGTAAGTAATCCTGAAATTCTCATTTCTGCTCATGCTGATAAACTTACCATCTAGTAGTACCAGTTATTCAATTAATTTTTAAAATATTCAGATATACCCTGCAAATAAACAAAACATTTCTGTACCCACACAGTGCCACCACCATAAAAGGTTACATATAAATTAACTCAGATTTCTTAACCATTTTCTCAGCTTAAGTCTGCCCTCACCCTAAATGAAGTCCAATTTATATCCAAAATATATTTAAATATTCCAAAGGTATTTCGAACTTAAGATATTGAAAAAATGTAAACAAAATTTATCTAGCTTATATTTAAGAACCATATTTTTAGGTTTTTAATTCATCCTATACTGACCCACTGGAAAAAAAAAAAAAAAAAAAAAACGAACCAAGTTATATTTAGACTGAAAGCTGATTTGGATTTTAAAGTGGTTCCTTGGAGACAACTGCCAATTACTAAAACCAGTGTTATTGAATCAAGTGGTTTACTGTATCATTGAACTTAAAAGACCAACATATTTCCTTTCTGTCTCCCAATAAAGCTCTTTCTGGATGAGCCCCCAGATCCAGCTGTCCTAAGTAAACATGCTGAACTGGAGATCCTGCAGTAATGCTCGGCACAGAACCAAGGCTGGGTATCAAGCAACTTCATGACTTCCACTGCAACTGTTTAACATCCCCAATTCCTGGTTTTTCAGGCCAGTTGGCTGAAAAGGATGGAAACTGGAGTGTAAAGTAGAGAAGCAGAAAGAGAAACATAGACTGATCCTCAAAAGAAAATCAAAGAATCCATTCATCACAGTGTCATCCTCATACTCCATAGTCAGACTGCTTCTCCTGAAGCTGCCTTGTTAGTATCTGATATGAAGACAGAAAAGCCACTCCTATGTGGAAAAGGATTTGCCAGAGGTTCCTCAGCCCGTGCAGGTACATGTTGCCCAGGCAAATAAAGAGCAGCATCAGCACCACCTTCATAGTCCTGGCTGGACTGTAGAACAGGTACAAATAACACTGAAATGAGACCAGAAGAGGAATTCCAATCAGAGATAAAATGGCTACTAGATCATATGCAAAATTCACCTCCCACAGCTTCCATGAAGAGTGTCATTTCCCTCACATTAGCTGATTAAACTGAATTCATTACAGTAAAGTGGGAACCAATGGTTAGGCTGCTGTTAATTATTGGATAAAAGTGAGGATTTGGAAGATTAAAGGAAAGTGAAATAGATGTCACAAGAAGAATTAGTGCATGGCACATCTGAGAGAAGTTCAAGAAATAGACAGAAATGCCCAGACTGTTGGCAGTAGAGAAAGAAGAGCCGCAGGTAAGCTGCAGACAGCCAGACCAGGGGACCCTAACGTGACTGACTGGTCCCCCAATGAAGTTTTCCTTCAGGGAGCCATGACAGGCAAGCAAGCTGGTAAGAGGAAGCCATGCTTTTACTATTTTGGTTTCTCCTGAGCCATGACTACATTGAGTACCACTCTTCCCTTGGGCACCCTCCTTATCATGTCTTCCAAAGCATCTCTGAGTCAGGGAAAGGTCTCACAGCAGGGAGAGTGACTGGTATTTTGTGTATGACTATCACACATAAAAGGGGCCATTCTTGTTCTGCAAAAGGTAGAAACAGCATTTTGGTTCAATGCTTTCTTGTTTTTTGTTTTGTTTTGTTTTTAAAAAAGGACATCACTGAACATGGATCAATACAACAAAGGTTCAACCTACAGAGGGAGGGAGTGAGCTATCCAACTAGGAACACAGTTGAAGGAATGTGGTGGAACTGTACAATCCCTGCAGTCCTAAAACATAGCCCTAGGAAACTGCCACTGGCTATGTCCAAGGTCTTGGAGACTTGTTTTCTAAAAAATGAGTGCATTTTCATGGGTTGAAAATTTCTTTTTGCACCATCAGGTAATGCTTTTTCTTTTATGCATTTCTGGGCAATGTTTTTCTCTGTTGCCCAGGCTGGAATGCAGTCGCATGATCTCAGTCACTGCAACCTCCACCTCCAGGGTTCAAGCAATTCTCATGCCTCAGCCTCCCAAGTAGCTGGGACTATAGGTATGCACCACTACACTTGGCTGATTTTTGTATTTTTATTATAATAGAGATGGGGTTTCACCATGTTCCCCAGGCTGGTCTTAAACTCCTGGCCTCAAGTGATCCACATATCTTGGCCTCCCAAAGTGCTAGGATTACAGGCATGAGTCACCGCACCTGGCCTGGGTAATTCTTAAGAATAAACCATTCTGGAATGCATGTGGAAGAGAAGGAAAGTGTCCTAAGAACAGAAATTTTAATTTTAAAAAAAAGGGAGAAAAAAATATGTATTCAGAGAGAGTGCTAAAATCCTAGTCCATATGGAGGACAAGGAAGGAGAATTAGAGCCAGGCTTTCACTAGAATTAACTCTGCCTATAAGGGACTCAAAAGCGCCTCTTTATGCCACCCCTTAGTACACAGCTTATTTGAAAATAACTAATCAAAACCCTCTAGTTAATTTTCTAATGTTTGCTTCAGTTGCTAAAGAACAGGTTTGAGTCAGAAGGTATTACTATTAAAACAATAACAACAACAAAAAACAGCAGTTCTTTGACCTAGTCCTATATATGTATATATATATTTTAAAAAATTTTTGCGGAGGCCAGGCACGGTGGCTCACGCCTGTAACCCCAGCACTTTGTGAGGCCGAGGCAGGCAGATCACATGGTCAGGAGATCAAGACCATCCTGGCTAACACAGTGAAACCCTGTCTCTACTAAAAGTACAAAAAGAATTAGCTGGGCGTGGTGGTGGGCACCTATATAGTCCCAGCTACTCAGGAGGCTGAGGCAGAAGAATGGCGTGAACCTGGGAGGCAGAGCTTGCAGTGAGCCAAGATTGTGCCACTGCACTCCAGCCTGGGTGACAGTGCAAGACTCTGTCTCAAAAACAAACAAACAAACAAAAAAGTTCAGAGATGGGGTCTTGCTGTGTTGCCATGGCTGGTCTCAAACTCCACGCCTAAAGCCATCCTCCCACCTTGGCCTTGAAAAGTACTGGGATTACAGGTGTGAGCTACCATGCCTGGCCTAGTCCTATATATTAAAAACTACAAGTACACAGATGCTAGTTTTATAGAAGGACATTCCTGTGCTTGGACTGTCCTAATAATAAGCACAAGGCAATAAGGCAATATCTTGCCACCCACTAGTCAGGCCTAATCCAGTCCCCATGTAATCTCATCCCTCCCTTCTGGGAAGTCAAATCCAAACTGTTGGTTTCCGTTCTGTTCCTGTCAATAGCCCCTTGGCCTTGAACAAGGGGCTTTCCCTTTCTGAGCACAAAGTTCTTCCTCTGTAAAATGAGAGGACTGGGCAGAATGGGCCTAAGGTCCTCCACTAAGGGCTTGGTATTGTCCATGATTTGAACCATGACCTTGGTGGAACAAAAATCACATCTAGAAACTTGCTGATAGATGAACAGAAGAACAAAATAAGGTCATGGATTTCATCCACTCACCAAAATATCATTTCACCCACCTGGAAAATGCAGGCTACAAAAGGAACAAGAAAAGCCAGAACGTTTCCAATTTCCTCATGGGCAACCTAAAACAAATACAAGGAACACAAGGAAAGGGATATTTAGATGAAAGGAAACACAGCACCATAAAGCACTTTACTCTGCCTTCAGTCTGGTATGGCGGACAGTACAAAATCCCTGGCTGGGTGAGACACAAGTTCCTGTTTATGCACCAGATCAGGGTTAGCATACGACTGTTTTCAACAGCCTGGTCACAGCATGTGCCTCCTGTCCCCATGTGATCGTGCTAAGTCTTCAACCTGGAATGAGCCGCCAATCCCTCCACCTCTCAGAAACCTAAGCATCTGTTAAGCCCTAGCTTTCTCTAATTCCTCCCATCTCCAGGCACTGTCGCCTCCTTAGGGTTGCCATCACACACGGTTTTGGGCCATGAGAGCCCCCAAGGCAGGGACTATGTCTTAACCATCTTGCTGGCCAGGTACTTATTCTAATGTATACAAACAAGCAGACAGTTGATAAGTATCTGGCTAAGAGCAATCATAAACAATAAGAGTAGAAACCATAACACACATTGATCAAAGACAGGATGTGGTAACAGCCAGTTACCACTCATAACATAGGCCTGCTGCCATTCTCCAAAGAGGTCAGTCTACATCAGTCTCCTGAGGTTCAACATCAGTCATGCGTCAGACTTTACGCACTATATCCATGGGTGTGAATATGGTGGCTCTATCTTTAAAAGTAATATCTATTTGCTGATGCTAATAATAGTTCTATAACTTCTCTTTTTTTTTTTTTTTTGAGACGGAGTTTCACTTTTGTCGCCCGGGCTAGAGTGCAGTGATGCAATTTTGGCTCACTGCAACCTCTGCCTCCTGGTTTCAAGCGACTCTCCCACCTCAGCCTCCTGAGTAGCTGGGATTACGGGCATGCACCAACACGCCCAGGTAATTTTGTATTTTCAGTAGAGATAGTGTTTCACCATATTGACCAGGCTGGTCTCAAACTCCTGACCTCAAGTGATCCACCCACCTCAACCTCCCAGAAGTGCTGGGATTACGGGTGTGAGCCACCACACCCGAACTATACCTTCTTAAAATACTTCAAAATTTTAAAACTATTTTTAAAAAGCACCGAAATAGTAAGTTCCTTTGAAATGAGCAGATCAGTGTAGGAACTTCCTAGTGATATATAATTCTTCGATAAAGACACAAGGAAGGTGGCATCTGCATTATATAAATCAGATTACAGGACAACCTTTTCTTAGGGGAAAAATAGCCTGAACCTTAAAATCAGAGAATGAAACTTTTGTCCTGGGTAAATAATCCAGTCCCTGGAGTGACTCCTGGGGTCCCAAGAGTCACAGGGTGGTCTAATGTCCTTGTAGCAAATTCTCCATTTCTTACCAATATCTTGGCAGGCCCCTCTGGTCTCTTAGGACAATAGACATAAAAGAGCAACTTTCATATTCATTCAACTTACTACAAAGAATAAAATTTAGAATAAAATTCGTATTAGTTTTGAAAAATTATAAAACCTCAATTTTATAGATAAAATGTATACCTATCACTTTCTTCTATCATATGTCCTTCAATTTAAACTGTTAAAAAAAAAAAAGTTACCTGTAAAGAATGTTCTGCAAGGTGAACTCCACGAATGAGATTCAGGGCAGCACACATGATGTTGAGAATGAGGGAGAGGATACCCAGGGCTGTCACTGGTTCCATTCGGAAATTAGGAGCTTCACAATGAAAAAAAACAAGTGTTTAGTGAAAGTAATTTCTATATGAAAGAAAAATAAAGACATTAATTAGACCTACACTAATGATAGGTTCACTATGTTAAACACAGAATTACAAACATATTAATTGTAAAAGCAGCAGAAGTTAGAGGGAAAAAAGGCAAGAAATGATGGACAGAATGGATGTGGGTATTTGAGTAAAGTTTCTTCCAGAAAAAGGCTCTTTTCCAGGCAAGTACAGGTTTTTTAAGTGCTTAATTTCCTTTCTATCTAAAGCAGTAGTTCTCAACCAGGGGCAATCTGCCCCCCTGTGGATATCTGGCAATGCCTGGAGTCATTTCTGGTTGTCACAACTAGAGACAGACTGCTACTGGCATCTAGTGGATACAGGCCAGGAATGCTGCTAAACATCCTACAGTGAATGCACAGGACAGCCTCCATAATAAAGAATTATCTGATGCAAAAATGTCAATAGGGATTAGGTTGAAAAATCCTAAAACAATTTCTGGGCCAGGCATGGTGGCACATACCTGTAATGCCAGCACTCTGGGAGGCTGAGGCAGGTGGCAGATCACTTGAGCCCAGTAGTTCAAGACCAGCCTGGGCAACATAGTGAGACCCTGTCTCTACAAAAAAAAAAAAATACAAAAAATTATCCAGGCATGGTGACGCATACCTGTAGTCTCAGCTACCTGGGAGGCTGGTAACCTGAATAATCAATGTTTCCCTCTTTCCAGTTATTTTAAGATTTTAAAAATTGCATTTGCTGTGAATTGCTCTAGAAACGCACGTGACATCGCATATTATTATTGTCAGAGAAAGACGACAAGTTGAATGTTGAGGCATATAACAGAAATGCTTTAAACATTTGACAACCAATTACAAATAAAGCCTTCGTTCTCTTTGGTAGTATAAGAAACTGTTTTATTTATTATTTATTTAATTGTTTTTTGAGACAGGGTCTTACTCTGTCGTCCAGGGAGGCTGAAGTGGGAGGAAGCTGAGCCTCGGAGGTTGAGGTTGCAGTAAACCATGATTGCACCCCTGCACTCAAGCCTAGGCAACAGAGCAACCTTGTCTCAAAAAAAAAAAAAAAAAAAAAAAAAAAGAGTTCAGGCATGGTGGCTCATGCCTGTAATCCCAGCACTTTGTGAGGCTAAGGTGAGAGGATCACTTTAACTCAGGAGTTCAAGACCAGCCTGGGCAACATGGTGAAACCCCATCTCTATTTAAAAAAAAAAAAAAATACAAAAATTAGCTAGGTGTGGTGGTGTATGTCTGTAGTTCCAGCTACTCAGGAAGCTAAGGTGGGAGGATAGCTTGAGCCCTGGAGGTGGAGGTTGCAGTAAACCAAGATCCCACCATGGTACTTTAGCCTGGACAACAGAGTAAGACCCTGTCTCAAAAAACAATTAAATAAATAAGTAAATAAAACAGTTTCTTATACTACCAAAGAGAACCAAGGTTTTATTTGTAATTGGTTGTCAAATGTTTAAAGCATTTCTATTGTATGCCTCAACATTCAACTTGTCCTCTTTCTCTGACAATAATAATATGCGATGTCCTGTGCGTTTTTAGAGCAATTCACAGGAAATGCAATTTTTAAAATTCTAAAATAACTGGAAAGAGGGAAACATTGATTATTCAGGTTACAAGCTGTTTCTAGAACTATAATGAGAACAAATGCTCATTTTTTCTGTAAAGATAACCACTGAAATTGATTTTGGTTCACACAATTAAATGGTGTCCCTCCCATTCTCTTGCTATACTCCTTTCTTACCCTTATATTTCACACACACACAAATACCTAGCCACAATCCAATTTATGCCTATTGTTAGTGTGTTAGAGTTTCCACTGAGCAATTAAAAGTTACTGTTAGAACAGAATATGCTACCTGTAAAGATTCTAGCCTCAGGACAATAGGGTAAATCAAATCACAGTAAAATGTCCTAGAAAGACAGGCAAGGTGACACTTTCTGGATTTGCTCCTCTTGTCTAAGTGTTTAAAAAACAAAACATACATTACAAAGATATGCCTGCATTCATATATAGTAAGTGAGAAGCTTGGAGCTCAGTTACCCAGTCTTCCTTTTACAAAAATTAAGTTTATTCTCAATATAAACTAGAACCACTTATTGACCAGAATGAGAGCCAATTCAAGTATTGGTTGAAACACATTAAACTAAAACACAAAGTTAAGTCAAAACCATGAACATAATACATCACTTTTAAAATTCAAGAAACGAGTTTAGCATAAAACAGTTAAAAACAAAATAATTAAGACTATTATAGTGTAGACAGTTCTTTTAGCAAAGGATTCAGCTCTTATGCCATTATAGAATTCTTAGAATGTAAATATCCAATTTAATTAAATATTAGTTTAATTGTATGTAATATAAACAGGAATGCAAAAAATCATGCTTTGTTATGTGCTAAGCATTGACTGGCTAATGATGTTAATGACAAAGTCATGAAATGTCAGGGCACTGTGATCATGTTCATTAAGACCTCTTTCTTCAGATGAGGTCTCTGAAATCCACAGGGATAGAGGGAGATCCCAGGTCTCAGAGAAAGCCAGACAGTGAGAACATTAGAAGCCCTGGCTCTAATCCCCTGCCCAACGCTCTCATCCCCATTGTCCTCCCTCCAACAAGAAGAGTGGGGGTTTCAGATTTACAACATTTCAGTAAATAATATGACAAGGATTCTCTCTCTATATATATATAATATTATATCTATATTGTATATATTATATATTATATATATAACATATATTATGTAAATCTATACAGTTCAATAAGTAACTTACAGAAAAAAAGAATCTTCTTTATAACATTTAAACTTGTAGTTCTGTCAGAACAACTTGAACTTAAATAAATACATAAAATTTAAAAATAATAAACTTGTAGACTTCACTCTAATTAAGAAAATAACCTGCCAGCTGAGCGTGGTAGCTCACACCTATAATCCCAGCACTCTGAAAGGCCGAAGCAGGAGGATGATGGCTTGAGCCCAGGAGTTCAAGACCAGCCTGGGCTGTAACATGGAGAAAACTTGTCTCTATTTAAAAAAAAAGAAGAAGAAGAAGAAGAAGGAAAAGAAAAAAGAAAATAACCTGCCAAGTCATTCTTCAACTCCTGAATTGCATCACAATAGCCTCCCCTCAAACCAATCCACTGTCATAATAGTCAATTTTTTTCTTTTTTAAGACAGGGTCTCATTCTGTCACCCAGGTTAGAGTGCAGTGGCTCACAATCACAGCTCACTGCAGCCCCAACCTCCCGGGCTCAGGTGATTCTCCCACCTCAGTCTCTGCAGTAGCTGGGACTATAGGCACGAGCGACCACCTCTGGCTAATTTTTTGTATTTTTGATAGAGATGGGGTTTTGCCATGTTGCCCAGGCTGGTCTCAAACTCCTGGACTCAAGTGATCCACCTGACTTGGCCTCCCAAAGTGTTGAGATTATGGACATGAGCCTCCACGCCTGGCCTGTAGTCAAAGTTTTATAACAGCCACCAAGAAACAGGATTGGTCCATATTTTTCTCAGCGTATTTTATACCACTCCTTCTCCCCAAAAAATAGCTTTCTAGTGAAAAAAAAAAATCAACGTCCATTTGAAATACACAGTATCACTTCATCAACATCAGGGAACTACAAGCCACTTACCAGGCTCCAAGTGCATTGGTGTGTGACCATTCATCACCCCATTTGCCACATCTGTGTCCTCCAGAGTGAGAACCACTGGAGGCTGCAACTTGAGCTCCTCCTGAATTTTTTCCAAGCTGCTCTCCATCTGAGAGGAACTTACATAGTTAAAATGCCACTTCACTTTCTGAATGATGTTGTCTGCAAAAAGAGAGCAACACAAGTTAAACATTTTCATCAGAACAGATATTATATTATAAGATAATATGTACAAAATGAAGTTCACATTTCTTTTTTTGAAGATAGGGTCTCATTGTTACCCACTCTGGAGTGCAGTGCAGTGGTGCCATCACAACTTACTGCAGCCTTGACCTCCTGGGCTCAAGTGATTCTCCCACCTAAGCCTCCCAAGTAGCTGAGATCACAGATGTGTGCCACCACACCTGGCTAATTTTTTTCATTTTTAAATTGTTTTTCTGTAGAGACAAGGTCTCACTGTATTGCCCAGGCTGGTCTCAAACTCCTGAGCTCAAGGGATTCTCCTGCCTCAGCCTCCCAAAGTGCTGGGATAATAGGCGTGAACCATTGCACCCAGGTGAAGTTCACGTTTCCGAGAGCTAATAAATCAGCCAGATTCTGAAAAGTGTCAAGTTAAACATAAAGGTCAAATGATTGCTAATATGAACACTGTCTGATCAATCTCTTCAAAGCAGGATAATTAAAATGTGATTGACTAAAAAGGCAATAATGCATCACAGAACCTCAGCAATGAGTCAGGGGAAAGGGGCATGCGTCTTAGCCCCTTACCACTTCTGATAGTACAGTACAATCCTAGGCAATTTACAGAATATTTCTAAGCTTGAAAAATGGAGACAGTTACTCCTGATCTGATTAACTCAAAAAAAGGCTTGTTTGAAAAAAATTACAAATGAACATGTTGTGCAAACTAGGATTACATATTTGGAAAGTATTCATTTTAATTCTTAAATTTATGTTAGGATTAATCCATTATCAAATCTGAACAGTTCTTGAAGTGAAGTTTCATACATACTGGCAAAGCAAAATCATGTATAATTCTACTTTCAGTGTACTTTGACTGATTCTACTCCCACTCAACAATAAGCAAACATGATGCTGGAGAAGGGGCTCCCATCAGATCAAGCAAATGGCTTTAGAAGGAAGGCACATCCAGAGATGAGGGGAGAGAAGAACACAGGTCTACCCAGCTCCAAATCAACTCACAGCCCAGGGATGCCGCAGCTATGGTCTATTTTGAACTAGCAGCCCTCTTCAGAGAAAGAAGTGCGGCCCAGAGCACAAGCTTGACTAAGACCTCACAGGGAGACTCAGGGGCAGAACCCTCAGTCTATCACTGGTCTACCAGGCTGGAGCCTGCCTACCAGGGTGACACCAAAAGAGGGTGCTAGCCCCATTCCTGATGGACTAGCCAGTGAACACATGAAGGAATGTGAGGGCTATGGCAGGAGTAGCCAGAAAGCCTAAGTGGCAACACTTCCAGGTGCTGGTTCTGCCCCTGACCATTTATAATAAATGTTGCCACACCTTTGTTTAAGAACATCACAGAGTCATTAGCTGTTTACACGGAGAGCACAGAATGTCCCCCAACTCCCACCTCCATTCCTCTTCATCCAAGAGCTCAAAATGATGCACACCTGACCAAAATAGGGCACATACTATGATTATCATGCCGTGTTCCAAAGTCTCTAAGGCTTGACAAGGCCTTTCTGGCAGAGCCTACAAAAGAAGTATCATTTTCCAGAGCAAACTTCTGGGTCAAGGAACTGTTTTTTTCTTCCAAACCATCACAGACTGATATTTTGATTAAAAAAAAGCAATAAAAAATAATCACAGGAATGTCAAATTACTGTAAGAATTTCTAAACACCAGTTCTCACTTTCTGTGCTTACTTCCTGATGGTATAAACACCCTTTCAGTAGTAATGCTCTGGGGCAGGGGTCAACAAAAATTTCTTACAGTGCCAGTTAGTAAATATTTTAGGATGGTGACTACACGGTCTCTGTCACAACTCAACTCCACTGTCGTAGGGCAAAAGCAGCCACACACAACATGTGAAAGAATGAGCATGGCCGCGTTCTGCTTCATTTACAAAACAGGCGGCTGGCCTATGGGCCATCGTTTGCTGACCCCAGCTTCAGAGAGCTGTGGGTTACAACCTACATGTTTCACTCTTCCTCCACCCTGCCTCCAGGCTCTGTGGAGATGAAAAGTCAGAGTATGAAACCTTGACACTTTCCGGGCCACTTCAATTGCTATGAAATCTCATGGTACAAGTCTGTTCTTCAGTGACATGTTTTTGCATCTCCAGTGGTTTTCCTTGATGATCAAAGCCAAACCTAAACTGTAAATTCTACACATATAACACCATGGAAGAGAACAATAAATATGAAAGAGGGTTACAAACCAAACTCAAGAAAAGCGTATGGCCTGGAGGCTAGGCCAATGCAGGTGGTGTCATAGGAAGCCGTGAATTCCCACCACAGGGTCTCCAGGAAGCAGAAGGCCATGGTTGCTGGACACTGGCAGGAACAGATAGCCATGCAGGCCACATCCCCAAAAGAAGAAAAACTGAAACAAAAGGGCAACATCTGTATTACCAGGAAACAGCCCCATGTATTCCCATCCCACACCCAGACACAACCTTACCTCAATTCTGCACTTGCTTGGCTTTAAACAGTCCTGTAGCTGTTTGTTGCAGGTATATTATCTCTTCAGTTTGACCTATTCCTGACACTGTCTTTCTCCTACTTCCTTTAAAATGTCTAGCAGTCTTAGTCAATGACAGCCTGTGATCACTTATTTATTCATGCATGAGGGATGCATATTCTATTAGGGGGAATTAGCCTCAGACTTCTCCACATATACTGAGAAAACGTTTTTCTTCTTTAATCTACATCAACAGATTTCCTAATGTTAAATCATCCTGGCATCCTAAAATAAACCCTTGTTGGATCTAAGTTCCTACATATTCATCAACTGCTGGATTTAGTTTGCTAACATTTTAATTGGGACTTTTGTGTCTATGCAAATAAGACTGGCCTATAATTTTCCTTTCTTATACTGTCTTCATCTGATTATGGTATTTAGGTTATTCTGGTCTCATAAAATAAATACAGAGTTTTTCTTCTTTTTCTACTCCCTTTTGGGCTGTCATGCTATCATTTCAAGTTCAGGGCACGGGGGCTCTAGATCACCTATCTGTGTGTCTACTGACTCCCACTCACTGTGGAATGTCTCCTCTTGTGTTTTGTCATTTTTTGCTGAGAGCTCATCCCTATGGGACATTTTTTGTAAGAATCCCTTGAGGCCCGAGTTGTGACACACTTCTTCCAGTGTGGTTCTGCATTTGCTCTGGCTGCCTACCACAGCAGTGTCATCGCTCTGGGACCAATACCAATGTTTCAACCTTGGCTTAGGAGTTCCTAGACTTTGAGGAGTATACACTCCAACTTCAATATTTTCAAGGCACAAGAACAACATTTCAATTTCTTAGGTGAAATTTATTTTTCCTTCCCACACAAAGCCAAGTAGAGGTTGAGTTACCCTGTATCAATGGGAAAACTATTTCCCTCACCTATCACCATTTCATTAGGTTGTGGCCTGGCAAGAACTTTCCTTTATGCAAGAGTTTTTGTTTTGTTTTTTTGACACAGGGTCTCACTCTGTCATCCATGCTAGAGTGCAATGGCACAATCTCAGCAAACTGCAAACTCAACCTCACAGGCTTAAGCCATCCTCCCGCCTCAGCCTCCCAAGTAGCTGGGACTACCGTTGTACGCCATCACACCTGGCTAATTTTTTGTGTTTTTGTAGAGATGGGGTCTCTCCATGTTTCCCAGGCTGGTCTCGAACCACCAGGCTCAAGCAATCTGCCTGCCTCAACCTCCCAAAGTGCTGGGATTACAGGTGTGAGCCACGGCACCCAGCCACAAGGGTCTTGTTCTGACACTCCATCCTATGTAAGCCCAAACCAAGCCCCAATTTTACGGTGACTAAATGCCAGGAGCCTCAGTGTCCGCTCACACACTTACTACCTTAATATTCTGCCCCCCTTTCATTTCTAGCATCTTAGGATTTCTTTCTTTCAAGATTAACTACATATTTAAAGTAATGGTTGATATGTATTTACCCTCATTTCTGGGTGTTTTCAGTAGAAGGGTTTTAAGGTTATGTTGTTCTACCATCTTTTTGAAACTGTAACTCCCTACATAAAAACTTTTCCAATCTAAAAAAAAGGACAACTCTCCTCCTTATGGAAGAAATCCTTCAATACGGTCTAGCCACTCTAGGATGGATGTGTTTCTATTTGAAAGAGGACCCCTGTTGCGGGTTGAGTGTGTCCCCCCAAAAAGATTTACTGATGTCTTAACTCAAAGAAATAGAGTCTTTGAAGATGTAACCAAGATAAAATGAAGTCATACTGGATTAGGGTGGGCCCTCATCTAATGACTAGTATCCTTATATAAAAGGAAATTTGGACACAGAGACATAGGGAAGAAGACCATGCGACCATGGAGACAGAGACTGCAGTAAGGCATCTACAAGCCAAGGAAAACCAAGGATTGCCAATGACTGCCAGAAAGTAGCAGAGGTTAGGGAAGGATTCTTCCTTAAAGTTTGTAGAGGGAACATGGTCCTGTGACACCTGTGAGAGAATGAATTCTGTTGTTTGAAGCCAATTTGTGGTAATTTGTTCTGGCAGTCGTAGGGAACTAACACACTCCTTAACTATTAAAAGCTATGGTACTGCTCACCTGTAAGAAAAGAAAGTCTGTTTCCTCTGCAAAAATAATGGTAAATATTTAATTCAAAATTACAAATGAGTAGAACATTTTTTATTCCTTTTTTCAAAATACTACTGAAGTATCCAGGATTTAAATCTGAAGTCTTAGACTTCTTTTTTCTGTGAAAAATAGCTTTTAACAGAGAAAAGCTTTCCTATTTGAAGTACAGTACAAATCAGCTAATCACAGCATAGTAAAGGAGAGACCATCAAGGACAGCATGTTCAGGCCCCCAGAGAAAGGGGCTGCACATGTGGGCAGGTGCAACTCAGTGTTTGCTCCTGAACATCCAGAGCCCACATCACCAGGTGACAGCTGCATATGCCTATTATTTGTCACCCCCTTCAGGACATGGCCCTTCTAGCCTGACATTACCACCTAGCCTGGTGTCAGGGCTGGACTTTTCCTTTTGTTTTTATAATCCTGAGACTGAATTCCCCTAAAAGGACCTCAGCTTAGCAGGTCAACTAAAAATTCACTATTCAAGGAGAACAAAAGGGGGCCAGGCAAGGTGGCTCATACCTATAATCCCAGGGCTTTGGAAGGCCAAGGCAGGAGGATCACTTGAGCCTAGGAGTTCAAGACCAGCCTGGGCAACATGGCAAGACCCTGTCTCTAAAAAATAAAAATAAATTAACTGGGGGTAGTGGTGTGTAGACTCAGCTACTTGGGAGGCTATCTATCAATCAATCTATCTATCTAATCTACCTGTCTATCTAGAGACAAGGTCTCTGTCCCCTCAGTTTGGGGGACAGAGTTCCAGCTACTTGGGCGGCTAAGGTGTGGACATGGCTCACTGCAGCCTTGACCTCCTGGGCTTGAGCAATCCTCCCACCTCAGCCTCCCAAGTAAGCTGGAACTACAGGTGCACCCTACCACACCTGGGTTATTTTTAATTTTTTTGTAGAGATGGGGTCTCATCCTGTTGCCCAGGCTGGTCTTGAACTCCTGGACTCAAGCGATCCTCCCACCTTAGCCTCCCAAAGTGTTGGGAGTACAGGCGTGAGTCACTGCACCCAGCTGAGACCCTGTCTCTAAAAATAAAATACAAAATAAAAATATAAGGAGAGCAAAAGGGACTTGCTAAGTAAAGGTCTAGATACAAAAGAAAATAGACATAAACTCTAACAAGCCATTTTCATATTCTAAAATCTGCCTTGCCCCTGATGCCTCCATAGAATGACTTGCTTCTTGCTCTGAGTCCTAGAACAGGAAATTTTATAACCCATAAGAAGCAGACTTTGGTGCCTAACTGCCTGCATTCAAATCCTGGGCTGACCAGTTACTAACAGTGTAACCTTAGTTAAGTTTTTTACCTCAGTTTCCTCCTCTGCAAAACAGGTGTAACACTATTACCTACATCATTAGCCACATAAAACACAGAATAGTGCCTGGCATATAGAAAACACTCAATAATATCAGTTATTGTAACCAGGATTATTGTAATCACTTGATTCCTACTTCCAATGGAGCATTTTCCCCACTGTATTGTAGTTAGTTATATATTTCTCTTGTTACCTCATTAGACTTTAAGTTCCTTGAGAAGAGAGACCTCCTCTCACTTCTTTTTCACTCCCCTGCTCCTGTCATGTAATAAAAATTTTAAAATGACCAGGTGCAGTGGCTCATGCCTGTAATCCCAGCACTTTGGGAGGCCAAGGTGGGCAGATTACCTGAGGTCAGGAGTTCAAGAGCAGCCCGGCCAACATGGTGAAACCCCGTCTCTACTAAAAAATTCAAAAATTAGCCGGGCCTGGTGGTAAGCGCCTATAATCCCAGCTACTCAGGAGGCTGAAGCAGAAGAATCGCTTGAACCCAGGAGGCAGAGATTGCAGTGAGCAGAGAGCGCACCACTGCACTCCAGCCTGGGCCACAAAAGCGAAACTGTCTCAAAAAAATAAATAAAAATTAAAAAGTGAAAAATAAAAACATAAAAAGTGAAAAAATTAAAAAGCAAAAGTATAAAGTATAAATGAAATTTTTTTCTTATTTTCTTGGCTTTCTAACTCTCATTATTTTCCCTCCCCAACATTATAATCCAGTATCTCCTCCCCCCTTACCTTTTCTCTTTCCCTGCATCTGAGTGGAAAAAAACTACAAAACTAAAGACATGAACCCAGGTCTCCCAATGCTCATGGGCACTCCACTAACAGAAGTTAAGAGCTGGAGCAGCCATGGCTGGGCGCAGTGGCTCACACTTGTAAACCCAGTACTCTGAGAGGCTGAGGCGGGTGGATCACCTGAGATCAGGAATTCGAGATCAGCCTGGGCAACATGGTGAAACCCCATCTCTACTAAAAATATAAAAATTAGCTGGGCATTGTGGCATGCACCTATAATCCCAGCTACTCAGGAGGCCGAGGCACGAGAATTGCTTGAACCCAGGAGGCGGAGGTTGCAGTGAGCCAAGATGGTGCCATTGCACTCCAGCCCGGGTGACACAGCGAAACTCTATCTCAAAAGAAAAAAAAAAAAAAAAAAAAGCTGGAGCAACCATCCCTGAGGCTCTAAGAAAACCCATTTCTTTCATGATTCTGTTGTAGACACACATGACCTCAGACCACTGATGCTAGATCTACTTTTAATATACAATGTGATCAGCATAAGATTACCACTACATGTAGTTAAAAATAATCCAAATTTTGCCAATATTCTGAAAAAGTGGATATGCTCACTTACTGTATACTAAAGTCACGGCCTTCTGCAGAACCTCGACCTGGATATTGGGCCAGTCGCAAGGCTAAACTCTTGAGCCGTCTCCTCCATTCCAAAAAATCTTGGGTGTGGTAAAAATCAGTAGAGGCTGAGAGGGGCAGTCCATCCCTTACCCGTACCACGCAGGCAAAAAAGATCATGGACATGGTCCACAAGAGAAGTCATGAGGACACCTGAAGAAAGCAAGGTAACCTTGTTACTGAGGCTCAAATGACAGTGCCAGAAATACCCCCACCCGTGAAATGCCCACTTTAGGGATTTTCACCCTCATTCCCACTATAATTGCAAATGTTGCTTTTATTGTTATTTCCCTGGCCTCTACTGCTACATCACTCCCAATTTTCCTCCCTTTATCATCCTCCCTGCCTTTTCTGCACTTGTAATTCTCTTTTTATTTTTCTCTAATGAGTCTCTCCCTTTCCAGAATTAAGCCAACTGGGATGATGGGGAAAGGAATACAGAACGGAAGCAGGACCACAGGGCTCAGGAGCAACACTAGTAATGGCAGGTAGCAGGACACAGACACAGCAAGACAGTCCTAAAGAGACAAGAAGCACCAGATACTGAAGCGGCAAGGATTGAGGTCCAGTGACCTGTGCACTTCAGGTCACCCACGGAGATAGGCACTAAGCAGCTTAGTTGCCATATCCTCACTTGCGAGGAGATAGAAGAAGGTGGAGAGATTCTGAGCATCTAACCTAATGCTGGTGACAAGGAGAGCAGAAGGCAAAAATGAAAGCTCCAGATCATGTCCTTCTGAATTTCTGCAAATGTTTGACATAGAGCCAGTCTTCAAAGTGATGACTGAGTCCCTACAGATGGCTAAAGGCAATCATTTAGCAAATTATATTACAGTAAGATTCTAAATATTTGGCCATGATATGTGAATACCATTAAGAAACAGAAAGAAACAGATCTGAACCCTCATGGTGCCTTGGGCAAACTGGAAAAGGATGTCTCTCTTGGTGGAAACAGGCCTGCACCAATTCTGCTGGCAGAGTCTGGCCGTATTAGCCCTATCTGTAACTCTGCAGGGTGCTTGTTCAGGGCATAACTTGTATATCTGTGAGTGGCAACCCTGCAATTAGGGATTAGTGAGGTGGCCATTACAGCTCAGATGAGTCTTTCCAACAGGATGTGTCCATACATCCTATTTCACAAATCCTCTACTTGACAGGATCCTCTACTATCAGGCCCTTTACTTGATGGGATGATAACAGGATACCAATGCACCTCTTTTCCAAAGAACTCTAGGGATGCAACCTTATTTGGCATCTCAGTTCTTCATCTCAGACTCCCAGGATGCACACTACTCTTGATCTCTGTACCTCTATGCATTCTTCACTTGTGTCTGCAGTGTCACTCCTCTGATCTCCCCACATCCAAATCCAAATCAAAGACTGTCTCAAATCCACCTTCTCAGACTTGTCCAGCTGGAAGTACTTTCTCCCTCTTTTTAATTCTTAGGAAACCTACCTCTTTGTTCTCTATTTTACTGATTTTGCATTTCCACTACCTAAATATAAGTTCTAAGAATAAAGACCGTGTCTGGAATGGATGAATGAATGAATAATTATCACCACAATATACATGTAGAAACTGCAGTGATATAAAAACACAAAGGAGGCAAAAAGAAAAATTAGGCTACCAGCCAACAGATACTACACAGTCCATTTGACCCATTTCTCCACACCTTCCATTGGGGAGTAAAAATGTGGAAAGCCCCTGGAAAAGTACACACACACAGAAAAGCTACTAAGTTCCCAGCACCAATGGCAGGGCCAGGTCAACTGCCAGAAGACACTATGGGTTCTACAGCAGACGCCTGGCCAATGATGAGACCACAAGCACCACAAAGGGAATCAGGGAACAAATGTGGAGAGGTTAATTGTTCTATCTTCTATCTTTTTGTAAGTATTTGAAATATTTAATTTTAAAACATTTTTTAAAAAGAGTTATAGGGCACAAAGCCCTGACAGACATAGGGAAAGGCTACAAGATCAATTTGAGACCAGGGCTTAGGCTCTTAACAGTAACACCAACGAGAACCATAAGCCAAGATATGAAGACACTGAGGCCAAAAAGAGACAGTCAATGAGATACCAAAACAGTTAAGAGACAGGACAGAAACACCCCAAAGCAAAATAAGAAAGGTACTTTTTTGGGAGCCAAGTAAACTGTACGCTCCTCTAAAGGAAAGCAGTGTGCACTGACTCCAAATGTCAATTCCAAAACATCCTCTGTAGTTCTGTCTTTATGGAGCATCTACCTTATGCCAGGTATTGTCTTAAGCTAATAAAAAAGAAAAGGGTGACATTTCCAAGCGATGGTAATCAGGAGAACTAGTTTTACCACTCTCTAAAGGACCCAAATGTCCCCTCCAGGTTCTCTACTTCTCCATCCTATCCTTTGGTGATCAAACTTGCTTTTCCTCAAACATTAGTATTCAAGATAAATAAATACCCCTCTTGTTTTTCAGTTCTATCAAGTTACTAGTACTGCAAACTAGTGAAACCTCCATCTATTTTTTTAAAGTCTTTTAAAAATATTTGTGATGGTTTAATGAAGGTGACACTGTGATAATACTAACTTGTTTGTGCGTATTTGCCAGTGTATGTGAATGTACAGGATGACAGCTGCCTGAAGGGTTAAAAGATTTTATAGGCTGCCACAGAAGAGTCTAAGAATGAAGACAACATCCTTGACATTGTTTTCCTTTGTAAAAATATACTTTGTATTCCAAAAGACGGAAGAAAAATAATAATACAAAAAGGAAGGGGCTTATCTTCACAGAGATTTGATATTTGTGAATTCAGGTTATGAGCTATTATGAGACAGCCTGTACTCAAATAAGAGATATGACCACTGCTCAAAACAGAATGAACTTCTGTTTCTGGAAAGATGAAGTAGAATTACTTTTCCCTGCTTCTCCCATGATATACCCTGGACATTACATATAAAATAAACACTCAAAAATTCTGACCAGCCTGGCCAGCAAGGCAAAATCCTGTCTCTACTAAAAATACAAAAATTAGCCAGGTGTGGTGGCACACACCTGTAATCCCAGCTACTCAGGAGGCTGAGGCACAAGAATCACTTGAACCCAGGAGGGAGAGGTTGCTGCAGTAAGCCGAGATTGTGCCATTGTACTCCAACCTAGGTGACAGAGTGAGACCCTGTTTCAAAAATAAAAATAAAAATTCTGAAAGGTGAAGAAAGAAGACTGGCTAGGGACCTTGGGATTTGAGGAATGACACATCTGTGAGTCTGCTGAGTTTGTTTTTTCTTATTTGTTTGTTTGTCTTACATATCACAGACTGGGTGTTAGAGAAGCTAGCAAGAAATGCCAATGGGTCAATGGGTACAGACCGAAAAAAAAAAAAGTCAAAAAATCTTTGTTCTCTCCAGTCAAAAAAACTAGAAAAGGTAAAGCATAACAAAACAAAAAACTTTTAGATAAAAAAACTGCTCTACTCCAGCCAAACATCACAAAAAAAAAACTGTAGCCACCACACACCTGCCAACGAAGGCCAAGTGAACAGCCCAGACTTCCACCACTGCCCTGCAGTAACAAGATGCCCCATTCTCCACCTTCCATCCTGCCGGGGTAGCATCAGAGAAGGCCAAGTAGCGGGTTAGAGGGCAGTAATGAGCCATTCTCTCCCACCACGTCACTGGGCAGACAGAATTCCTATCTCTCCCCAGCAATGATGAGCAGTCCCTTTCCCCCAGGGTGTCAACAGAGGCCATGTAGGGAACCTGGACTTCTACGTCCATTGGGCAGTAATAAGACAGTCCCTCGCTTCCCCTGCTGGAGTGGTATCAAGAAAGACTAGCTAAAACAGAAGATTTTAGTAAGATTCATATCTCATAATATCCAAAATGTAAGTTTCAATAGAAAATCACTGGCTATACTAAGAACCAGAAAAATCTCACCTTCAATGAAAAGAGACATTAACTGATGCCAACATCAAGATGACAGAGATACTAGAATTATCTACAAAGAGTTTAAAACAGCCACCATAAAAATGCTTCAATGGGCAATTATAAACTGATTCCCAGGCTAGAATGCAGCAGTGCAATCATGGCTCACTGCAGCCTCAATCTCCAGGACTCAAGCAATCCTTCCACCTTAGCATGCCGAATAGCTGGGAATATAGGCACAAATCACTACATTTTTTTTTTTTTTAGACACAGGGTCTCGCTATGTTGCTCAGGCTGGTCTTGAACTCCCAGGCTCATGTGATCCTCCCACCTTAGCCTCTCAAAGTGCTGAGATTATAGGGGTGAGCCACCATACCCAGCCACTTTTAAAAAATGAAAAATAAAAACTCTCAGTAAAGAAACAGAAGATATAAAAAACTAAATGGAGATTCTAGAATTAAAAATAAACTGAGGCAGCCAGGCATGGTGGCTCACACCTGTAACCCTGGCACTTTGGTAGGCCAAGACAGATGGATCACTTGAGGTCAGGAGTTCGAGACAGCCTGGTCAACATAGTAAAACTTCATCTCTACTAAAAATACAAAAATTAGCCGGGCATGGTGGCACACACCTGTAGTCTCAGATACTTGGGAGGCTGAGGCAGGAGAACTGCTTGAATCCGGAGGCTGAGATGGCAGTGAGCCAAGATCACGCCACTGTACTCCAGCCTGGGCTACAGAGTGAGACTCCATCAAACAAAACAAAACAAAACAAAACTGAGGCCAGGTGCAGTGGCTTACATCTATAATCCTAATGCTTTGAGAGGCCAAGGCAAGAGGATCACTCGAGACCAGGAGTTTAAGACCAGCCTGGACAACATAATGAGACCCCATCTGTATGAAAATAAATTAATTAATTAATTAAAGTAAAAAACGCAATAGATGGGCTCAATAGAAATATGGAGGGGGGGGAGAAGAATGAATGAGTAAACATGAAGACAGAATATAGAAATTACTCAATCTGAACAATATGAGGGGAACTAGGTTGAAAAATATTTCACAGACACTTGGAGACCTGTGAGACTATAAAAAATGACCAAATATTCCTGTTACTTGGGTCCTGGAGGACAAAAGAAAGAAGACAGGGATGAAAAAGTATTCAAAGAAATAATTTCTGAATATTTCCCAAAACTGTGCAAAAGATATAAGCCCAGAGATTCAAGAAACTGAACAAATCCCAGAAAGGATAA